GCCTAGGCACCCAGTCCTTGGCTCCATGGCACCAGCCTTTACAAACTGCTTTGTCTTTAAATCTTCTTCCTTTCGCTCTATATTTCTTCCACTTCGTTCTACATCTAATACCCATTATAACTGTAAGAAAAACATACGAATATCTTTCTTTAAAGTGCAATTTCATTCAAAAAGACTTGTAAAATATAAAAAAATTCATATAATTTGTTCACACATCAAAACTTCAACTCAAAGTTATTTTTAATTGCAGAGAGCAAAGAATTTGCCTAAAATGGTCTGAATCACAAAAACAAGCACATAGTTTCAAGTCATTATCCCCCATTATTTATGTAATAAGAAATTTCCTCATTGTAAATCCCTCTCCAACATTGCCGATAAAGTAAAAGTAGATTGTGTGATATAGCTATCCAACACGGTTCCACCAATCTAGAGTTGTTCACATTCTGAGCACACCCTACGACCTCTTTGATTTTGTGTCATAATCACTACCTCCGCTCAACCAAATCAGTTACATTGACCAATCATTTGCACAACTTTAGTGTGAATAATAATATGAATATATTTTTTTAGTGAAGTTCCATTTTTAAGATATCACAAATCAAATTCATGTCCTTTGAACCAAGGACATATCACATCAATCTCTTCATTTATTAACCATAAGTGCACATTGTCCTTTTGAATTGTAAACTTTTTCTTCTTCCCTCGATCGTATCTCATTCTTTGTTGGTTTATCGGTTTTAACTAGTGTCCACCATATTCTAATGTGATTTGTATAGACTCATCTTATTCCATAGTTAAATTTGTTTCTATAGATGGCTCACATGAGTAAATCAAAAAGAAAACAGAAGCAAGCATAAATATGCTAATGAAATAACAAAAAATAAAGTGTATTTATTGTCCTACTAGTTCAATATCACAAAAATTAATTGAATAATATTATCATGGTGACTATGTTCTCACCTTGCGGCCAACCAAATCAAATATCACAGTCACTTTGCATACATACCTCGCAATTCTTATTTATTTACATATGCAAAAGCAAATGATAGCTTGCAAAAGATAGAAACTAGAAAAACTAAATTTACCTCTCCAAGGCTCTTGCGGCCTTCTCCTTCTTATAATCCAAACCGTGACCCGTAAACTATGATACACCTATTAAGTTGTATATTTATAATCCATCTCATTAGTTAGAAAGTGCACCTTTATCTTGTATTACGAGTAGAGACGATAGAAAGTGCATATTTGAATGGTTATATGTGGATTGGGGACAAGCGATGGAGTCACGAGAAACGAAGTAGGGGTTAAACCATAGGACTTTGCATGAGGGATAGTGTCTGATTGATTCATTTAGGACGATAAGATTGGCTCTTGCACTTATTAGTTTAGAAAAATTCTAGAGGATGAATGGGCTGTGAATGGCCTTGTTGTACATTTGAAGTGAAAGAAAAATATCGAGCCATATAAGTAAGAAAAAGAACAACATATAAGACACTTCTAGTGTAAAAGATGAATTTCCCTTAGGAATATTGGCAGATCCAGGAGATTACTATAAATTCAAAAGATTGTTTAATGATCAAATAAAAGTCCTACTAATTATAAGTCCATTATAACAACAACAAAAGTCACCCAACATTGAAGTTGTGCTACATCAATAATGCCTCATTATTAGTGTACCCTGATGATGGCATCATGCATGTAAGATTATACAAGATTAACTTTTAGGTTGTTTTCAGAGAAAATATGGCCATACATTAAGCTGCTCAAGATGTATGGTGAAGTGCTTGTGTAGCAATTGGAAGTCGATGGAATGTATAAAAAGGAGCAGTATTGTCAAAAAAACTCATTGTTTGAGACCAACTCATGTTCAACTCATTAAGTTGCTCGCTTTTGATTCGTTTGTTAAACAAGCGAGCATAATACAAGTAAAATTTTTTTAGTTAGATTTATCAACGAGACGAGAATGCTTATGTGGATGAATGACTTGAGACTTAGAGACAAAATATGAAATAAATGTATCTGTGATAGAATTGGTATTAGATGATTTGGTCACATTAAACGTCGGCCATTTGATAATTCGATTGGGAGAGCACATGTTTAAGATTCAACTTATGTTAAGAAAGAGAGAGGTAGACCTAAAAAAACATGGACATGTTGTAAAAAAGTGATCATAATCTATTAGAGTTAAATGAAAATATGATACTCAATAGGACACAAATGAGAAAAATAACTCATAAAAATGATTCATATAACCGTCCCCACTTAGTGCGATAAAAGCTTGCCGTCGTTGTTGTTTTATAAAGGAGCTGAACACAAACAAATGTTTGTTCCTTCGTGCTCTGCTCCAAAAAGAAATAATTAAATAAAAATAATATTTATTTATATCTTTTTATAATAATTATTTATATTGTATGTCAAAAATATATAATTAATTATTTTTTAAAATAATTTGGATGGTATAATTATATCAAGTATAAATATAAGTGTTAGACATGTAAATACATGAGAATTGGCCGGTATGTACCCACCTCATGTCATGACGTAAATATTTAAGAATTGGGTGGCATGCAGGCAAATGCCCTTTGCAAATACTAAAGCCTATTACAATTGCTGGTGAAGTTTGAAATTTCGCGCACAGACTAAGATACATAACACACACACACACACACACACACACACACACACACACACTCTTATTATTTTGGCCAGAGATTATGACGGCATCTGATAGTTCAGATTTAACCCTTTGATTATATGATATTTTTTAGACAACATAATATCTGACTGGTTTTAAAATTAGGAAACATTAGACTCATTCAATTTTATTTTATTTTTTTTAACTACAAACTTATACAATTAAGACAAATAATTTCATAAAATTTTAAACTATACTTTTAAATGCTTAATTCATATATGTTGCGTGCTGGAAGTGGCTGCGATCGGAAGCGATGGTGGCTTGAGGCGGCACAAGAAGAAGAGACGTCTTGAGGCGACGACAGAATGCAGCGTCGATGGAAGAAGTGGCAACGACGGCAGACGCAGACGAAAGGGATTGTGAGGAGTGATTGTGAGTATGTGACTGGAAGAAGCGACAACCCGAGATGACGGTGATCAGAAGTGACGGCGACCTGAGGGGGCGGCGACCAGAAGAAGCAACGATCTGAGGCAGACGACGGCCGGAAATGGCGATGGCGAAGGCGGCCTGAGGCGATGGCAACGAGCAGAGTTGGTCAGATCTACAATGCAAATGATACGGGCTTTAGCTCCCTCTTTTGTAATCTCTAAACTTGCTCTTGCCTCAAAGTTTAGGTCCATTTTCATGAGGAGTTTAGTGCTCTATTTATAAAGTTCAAATTACAAATAATGTAGAGATCTAAAACACTCTTGATCGAATAGTCAAGAGAAATTCTCTTGATCAAACGGTATTTGATGGACATTTGAGTACCTTAAAGATGTCAGAGTTGAGCAATATTGAGCTCATTTCAACATCTATTCGATCCCCTAATTATGACCAAAAAGTTTGAAAAAATAGCCGAACGGCTTGATTCAATTCCAATTAAGCCAATTTTGTACTGTTGGGTCTGTCTAATCAAACCAATAAATTGAACTATAAGTTTACTGAAATCAGTACTCTAGTTGTCTTTTAATAAAAGTTTGAACGTTCCTTACTTCAAAATTTTCGTGTCTAGGTCACTACAATCCTATGAGATTTATACCCAAATAATAAAAATTTATTGCCGGAGTATCAACATCTAATTGATCATAAATTTCTTACATAATTAAATTAAGTTCATTTATATATTCATTTTAAGTGCTTAATTCATATATGTTGCGTGCCGGAAGTGGCTGCGATCGGAAGCGATGGTGGCCTGAGGCGGCACAAGAAGAAGGGACGTCTTGAGGCGACGGCAAAATGCGGCGTCGATGGAAGAAGTGGCGACGACGGGGGCGCAGACGCCAGACGCAGGCGACAACCCGAGATGGCGGTGATCAGAAGTGACGGCGACCAGAAGAAGCGGCGACCTGAGGGGGCAGCGACCAGAAGAAGCAACGATCTGAGGCAGACGACGGCCGAAGGCGGCCTGAGGCGATGGCAACGAGCAGAGTTGGGCAGATCTACAATGCAAGTGATACGGGCTTTAGCTCCCT